ATGTTCTTTTTATTAAAATTAAATGTCGAATAATTAATATATTAAAAATTAACATGAGAATAAATGGTATTATATTATATAATGCTAAATTAATATAATTCCATATTGGATAAATCTGGAAATGAAGTGATCCACCACCAATTCTTGTTTCATTATGATTTCTATATGAATAACATGAAAATATAGGTAAATGAAGATTAATAAGTATTATTGAAATAAATGTTGATACAATAAGAACGATAACACGACGATGCTGATGAATTGCACGACGTTGTCGGACTTGATTTAATGCATAAAAACGATCAGCACACATCCATACACGTAACCAAGCTGATGATTGACTTAAAACATGATTAAAATATGTTGATAATTTACATGATAGAACTGTTAAACGATCAACTTCAAAGCCAAATTTTAAACGAAAAAAATGATCTAGATTCCATCCATAAACTAAAAATATATCCACAAATGCAATTACACGCATATAACGTATAGTTGGACGTTGCCGAAATACTTTTTGATAGAAAATTATTATTACGAAACTATTTAATATTGTTGTTACACATGTTAAACATAAAGGATAATAAGTAGCTAATATTGTGATTACAGATAAATGATGTGAACTCATTGAAAGATAGATTCAACTGTTTTTTGTTAGATTTATTTTTCAAATAACAGCTTCATTCGAAGAAGAAAAAAAGTCAATTATCATAGATGCGTAGGTAGAGTTCAATCACGTATTAAGTACAAAGTTGATAATTACTATTTATTTACGTGAGATTAAAACTATACTAATATATCCTCGTACACAAAATTTTCTTAATTAATACTAAACACCTAGATTTCGATGATAGAATTTCCGGACGTGTTTCTCTATTTTACAATCAACATTATAATTAATAATTCTTTCCAATCTAACTTATTTTTTGTCAAATACAATATATAGTAATCTTTCAGTTTCTGAACTGTAGATAAAAATAAATTGAATACAGTAAAACCTCCCTAATGTGAACACCATCGGGACCGAAAAAAAAGTGTTCATTATACGGAGATGTTCACTATAGAGAGCTAATATATAACATAGTCTGAAATAGAAGAAATCTTAGACTATTTTCTTATGCCTTTATAGAAGAGAAATACTCGAGTATCTATTATATTGTCCATTTATTATTAGTTAAACGGCTTTAATAAAAGTTTGTTTCAAACTATAATACAAAAACAAGGAGTAGCTGTCTAATTCGCGTTCGAATATAAACGGATATTAAAAAAAATAAAAACTAGTACTTATTT